GGCAAATACCTTCTGAGTCCTTTGAGCGGTTACACTTGAACCTCAGGCTGACCACGCTGACCAGAATGATCACAACTACTATCAGGATAACGATGAAGCTGATGACACCTGGGGAGGGAGGAAAGAACTGTCCGTGATTGATATAACATCGTGCCTGTCCTCAGCTTCTGGGGTAGTGGAGACACTTTGACTGTCATCAAAACTTGGGTAGGAAATCAATATTATCATTAAAATGAGCATGATGCATAATAGGCAAAGAAGTAAGTAGTCACTACAGTGAGTGGCTTTATCCTCTTGTGTTTTAGCCTCAAAGGGCTTCTGATGAATACTTAATTGGTAAGGCAGTGCCAGGAGGGCAGAAGTCAGCTAATTACACTGGGGATTGATTGAAGTCAGTATGTCCCTACTACAGTTGGTAAATCTTATCCTGAAGGAGTATCAAGTCAGATAAATACATAATATAATGAGGAGAGACAAGCTAAAAAGACTGTGAACGATGTTAACTGTCTCATAAACCAGTGGCCAAGTGCAGATTTGATTCTGATGTTTGGCCTCAAATCTATTGCCAGGTTAAGGTATGGCATCTCTTGTTCCGTCCTTCCACAGTCTGAGGGATGCGGAGGACTTGTCTGCTTGCTGCCAAGCAGGGTGCAGCTGTGCAGGGGGAGGCACTAAGGCAGGGTGGGAATGAAGTCCCAACAGGTTTGCAGGGAAAAAAAAATAATCTAAGCTTCCAGGCAGGTAGTGTATTTATTCTAGACACTTATCAGAGAAACAAAGGCATAGCCTGGGGCCGTTGGTGTCCAGGTGTTGTCCTAACATGGAGCTGGGGCAAACACCAGCACTGGGAGCAGGATCCCAAGCTCGGCTGTAGCCGTGATGGACTTTCAAATTGTCTGTCCCTCATATACTGGGCATGGCTGGGAGTATTGATTAGGTGCTTTATTGCCTGCTGGTGACAAGTCTTTTTCTCAAGGGTTTTCCCTTGCACTCTGAAAACTTGAGGATCAGGCATGCTGAAGAAGAAAACTGTGGAGCCATCTCCGGGGAAGCATCTTTGAAGCTGGCTGTCCAAAACAGCACGGACTGGAGAAACAGACCCCCCTCCTCTCCCCATGTTGTGCAAGACCTTACCAAAAGCTGCCACCGTCAGTGGTGATTTATCATCTGTCGGAGTGGGTGCAGGCAAGTAGCCAGAGGACTCCAGTGTCGGGGTGGCTGGTTTTGAGGTGCCTACAAGAGGGGAAAAAGGTAGATTTATAGAAAAATCTTTCTTCCGATGTTGGGAAGAGGATTCCTAGCAATGCTAGAGGACCTAACTCGCACTTGCCAGCCCCATCGATGTTAGCAGCAAAGTGACCAAGACCTATATGGGAATTGGATTGCCTTGCTATGGCCCCTTTAATTGACAATCTGAGGAGACCTGCAGGGTTTTCTGCAGGGGCCCTAGTGAGGAAGCTGAGTGTGGCAGGTGAAGGACTGAGCTGGCAGCGTGTTTGAAGGGGCGCCTTGTGCTGTCTCCCTCCTTTTACACCCTTTTGCCATAGTGGCACCTTCCCTGCTGTGACTCACAACCACTGTTCCCAGGCTCAACAGATTGCCCCAAAGTGCTGCTTCTGTGGAGCTTTACGGGCTTTTCAGGGGCTGGATAGCATGGCTAGCATCCCTCGGGCACTTGTTAGCCCTTCACAATGCTGCCTTGAAGACAGCAGTATGATGGCCTTGCTGTTGGCTGTGAAAAGGGCTATAAAATATCTAGTGGTAACCATCTCTCTGTGAGATAGAGGAGAAAGCACCTTGAGTTGCTGATGTTGTGGTACTCTCGCTTCTCTTGGGCTCTTGACCTGCATAGAGAAACGCAGAATGTGAGTCTGGTCCTCGAGTGTCATCTAATAACCAAAAGAATTAATGGGTGTGCTGGAGAGGAGAACAGATGAACAGTAATGCCGGTGATATCTGGGGAAACATGGAATTCATACTCAGGCTAAAACCTTCCCACCAAAACACTCTTTATGCTATTTTCCATGTCCAAATAGAAATTCAGGGAACCAAAATTCAAATACCCTTGTATAAATTCTTCAGCTTCTGCAGTCCCAGATGCATTTTTTGGGCAGATAGAGGAATTGAGTACTGGAAGAGTGAACTGGGAAGGTTATAGATTTGCTATTGCTTATAAACATTGAGACTTTAAAAAAATAAATCTGCTTAGGGGAAGAAATTCTGCAGAGTATGGGTGTGGACTGACTGTTCGGCTTGTCCTTGGACTTGGAATTAGTGGATATGCTGTCCTGGGCTATCTAGAAGTAATTAAGCTAGTTTGAGTTGGGCTAACTTGTACGCCATATGTAGTCTAGCTGTGGCAGTGTAGAGGTTTGTTCGAGCACGGGCTCCAGTTCTCAGTGGGATGAACTGGCTTATATGAAGCTGTTGGGTTTGTGACAGCTGCTTCCAATGCCCGTGCAAGCAATTTTAAAGCTCGCCTGTGTGTTTTGCTTGTACAGAGAAAAAAAAACCCTTTGCAGCCTCCTGGATGTGTGTTCAACAGCCAGATTATCTGCATTGACCTTAACGAAGAGCTTACAGACCCTGTCAGGAGGCTAAAAATGATACTTTAGAGCTGCAGAAGATTATCTGTAGGTCAAGTAGGATCTTCTTTCCTCCTTTCCTGTCCCCACCTTCCCAACAGCGGCGTTGGCCAAAAGCGTGTGCTGCCTGGAGAAGTGTGAAACAGCTCCTGGCACTCTGCAGTGGACCGCAGGGCGTGCAGCTGAACCCGGGGTTCCTGTCTTGCAGAAAACATCACGGTTTCTGAATGTAACTTTGCCAAAAGTCAGAAAAAAAAAAGGGGAATAGTTATGAAATGGCAAATCTAACTGGTTCAGAAATGGGTAACCACATGGAGCAGAACAGTCCCGGGAAGCAGAGGGACTACTGCTGTGCAATTCTTTCAGCGGTCGTCAAACTCTTTGTTTCATTCTGAAATTGTCCTTCCAGCCACAGGCGGTGGGCAGAAGCTGTGGTTTGCTGAGCCTGGCATGGATACCCCATCCCTGGGAAATGTTGGGTCTCACACAACGGGAGACTTCGCTTTTGGAAGCATCAGCAGTATTTCTAGAGTCAAAGATGTATGGGGCTTTTCAGATACAAAGCAGGGTTATAATTAATAGCAATCTGCTCTGATGCAAAGGGCTCTTGGCTTAGCCGGGCACAGGCATGCTGCTTGGGCATCTGTGCAGGCAGAGCTGACCATGGGTTTTTAACCTTGCTTGCGTTAGAGAAGATCTGAGAGGTACTTGGAGAGGCAGAGGAGTTTCTGTCTTGACCGCTGCAGATTTTGCGGGCTGAATCTTTAATGGGGAATCAGCTCAGTTGTCAGATTTCAGTCTTCCCACTCACTTGGATTCTGCCCTTATTCTGATAAAATTCTTACTGAATTCTCTAATTTTTGCTTACAGGATGGGTTAAGCAAACCCAGCAAAAAAGCAAAATGATATATATATTTTTTAAAGGTTGTTGAAAGGGCTCCCTTTTCCTAAACATAGATCAGTCTTTCAACTGTTCAAGTTCATCGTAGGCAGAGGACATTAAGTGCCTTTGGTCTTGTGTTTTATCACTGCTTTTAAGGATACCAGACATGATTTTGGGTGTTACTCATGGCTCAACCCCAAGATAAAGACTAGTGCTTTGATAACCTGCACCACGTGAACCAAGTAAGCTAATTGCCATGAAATTATCTAAATTTATTGTTACTCTATAAAAGGACAAAGTACCTTGAGGTGGTGGAGCTGCCGTGCTTCTGCTTCCACTAGGCTTTTCATCTGGATAAAGAAAACACGGGAAAGGAGAATTAACTCTTGAAGCTGCTACTGATTGTGCTATGGAGAGCTGTTGGGTTTCCATGGGGTAAAAAACTTTGTTTGCATGAGACTTCCCCTCCAAACAAACATCAAGATGTCCAGCCAGCAAGCTGTGCAGTCAATTTAGAGAGGGTACGTGAGAGGCGAGCTTGGGAGGGGTCTGGGGAGGCTGGGGTGCCCGTAGGTCCTCCACCAAACATTACCAGGTGAAGCGTGATCTGGCCTTTCTGCTATGGGCTTGCTGTGCAGCTGCCACATCCAGGTCACGGTTGTGTCCAGCCCTATGCTGTTGGGGAGCTGCAACGAGCTGCTCTTTTAACAAAGACTCAAAGTGATTCAAAAGTTGCCGCTACTGGATGAGTAGCACGGTGTGGACTAGCCCAGTCTTTCTGATGCCCCCAGTTTGGCTTGGCTAAGGAGGGATGCATAAACATGTCCTGCCTGAGCAAAAATTTGAGTTTTCCGTACTTACCTCGCACAGTCAAAGCTAGAGGTGTTGTAGCGATGGAAGAGGATTTGGCTGTAGTAGTGTGACCCACAGAGGTGAGATTCAAGTCGGTTGGTGTCATTGATTTTACTGAAGGCTCTGTAGAGGAAGCGTAGCGTTACTTCAAAAAGCTCTGCTCACCACCAGCTCTGCTCAGAAACAGCTTGGAGGAGGGCACGGCTACTGCAAAGAGTCCTCAGACTCCTTGCGATAACCTGCTGGGCAAAGCACGGGCATGAGTAGACAGGGAAATAGCCTTTGCCCTGCTCAGAGCTGGGGAGCTCTTGTACTTCAGCATTAGCTTTTGCTTTTTGTAGAGTACGGAGGTGCTGAGCTGGCAGAGCTCAGGAGACACATGGGGAAACTCTGCTTTGTGCCACCGCTTTTTTCCTGCTTTGAAAATGAAGGTATTTTCATCACTGCACACTTTAACTGGCTAGAGCTGCCGGACATCCACCTGTTTGCTTGTTATCTGAAATGCTAACTTTTGTGTTTTGTTTCACCGAGAGTCTCTAACCACAAATAATTCAGTTCGTGCAGTCATCTGGAGGCTCTGTCATCTTCCTCAACCTGCAACTCAAAGCTGGATAGCAAGAACATGATCCAGAGCAAGACGTGAGGGAAAAAGCTTTCAATAAGCCCTCTGCAAGGAAGAGTGCATCACCAGTTTGGAATTTATAGGCAAGTTCCTTGTCTAGACTTCTCTTGGGTTTCCAATAAAAATGAGAAAAGAGCAAAAATGGTTTTAAGATGGGTTCTTTTTTCCTCTTTATCCAAATGCTTAACCAAAATATTTTGATTTAGGAATTAGGTGGGGTGGTGGTTGTTTTTTTTTTTTTCCCCTGCAAGGTATGGAAGCAGAATATGAGATCTTGTTGAGATCTTTTTCCTTTCTATTTTTGGGGTCCCTTTGGAGGGGTAGCTGTGCTTAGAAAGATTCTCCCTTCCCCGAAATGTAGCAGGAAGAGATTTGTCTCCATAGATCCAAGTGGACTGACAAACATGGATCTGGAGTTGGAGGGATCCCTTCTCGTGTAGTTGGTTTTGTGTATTTTTCAGACTGAAACATGTAACTTTCTGCTGACACCTCCCAACGCCCACTTCCAGGGCTTCTGTGTCACCACGTGTGGCTTCTCTGTCACCACGTACACGTGGTGGTGTCCTGAAGCTGGTTTCAGCAGAGGGGGAGAACAGAAAAAAGAGAATAAAGTAAGACAACTCCTCAGAGTTTCATATGACTTTTAAATATTTTTCAGTCCTTATGAGTGTTTGCTGTTTCCAGGAAGGTGGATAACAAAGCGAAACCCCTAATGTGAATAACCGGATTAGAGCTAGGGCAGTGCTCAGTCCCTGCGCTGACATGTTGTACAGTTTAGGACAAACCTCTCCAAACTTCTGTTTTCCTCTTGGAGGAATGGGGAACGTGTTGTATGGGAAGTGCTGAGGGTGTGCAAAGCACTGGAAGTTTTTAATTAAAAAAAAAAAAAAAGAAAAAGAAAAAAGTGGTTAGGCTTGTCAGGAGAGGAATATTGAACAATAAATGTAATGTGGGGAAGCTGTTAACGACAATGACTTCATTGCTGATCCTTCCGTCAGGACTCTGGGAGCTGAGGCCAGCGCTGGCGTGCGAGGCACTGTGTGTGCACACGCTGCGCACGCCCAGTGGTCCTCTCACGGAAGAGCTGCTGAGCAACACTGGTGATGCCACGTAGGAGATGCAGCAACACCGCCCAGCCCGGCTCCTCGCCTGGGCTCTGGGCAGTCGCATCCTTTGTGTGCACCAGCGGTATTCCCTGGCTTGTGACCGGCTGACCCTGCGTCTCCCTGTTCAATTTAGTGATTTTTTTCCCCTCTTCTTGCTCACACCTGTGTCTTGATCCCTCTGGGGTGAGCTGGCTGGATCAGAAGCCCTTATGCCACAAAATTTCCTTCTTTGTCCACCAGTGTTCTCATCTAAGCCCCATTTATGGCTGGGTGGACCAGCTGGACTGAAGGTTGGACCAGTTACAAGCCAGGATGCCCCCGAGCTGTCTCCGGATGAGCGTTACCTGAGGTATGGTTCTCTACTTCAGGGCTGTGTGTTGTTGATTGGGATTGACCTGTAACACAAGCAGAGAGACATGGAGGTGACATCTCCTACATGTATGCCTTGTTGGTGGGATCCCCACAGGGAGGGTTGAAGGACAGGCTGGAAGGGGACCACTATAGCCATTAAGAGCTGAAAGGGTAACAGGTTCAAGAGATGCTAAGGATGGAGTTTGTCACTGGGACACTGTCACTGGGCTATAGGGACCCGTGGGCAAATGGACCTTGGCTTTGAGGGTCCATGGAGGAGAGCATGCAAACTGCTAGGAAACAGGTGGGGGAAACGGGGAGCAAAGATGAGGCAGGATCCCCCTGCTTTCACCAGGCTTCCTGGAATTGCTGTCTTCCTGACAAAAAAGGGAGCCAGGCATGGCCATCCTCTGGGGCACACTGCCCTCCGTGGCCCCTGGAGATCTGGGGGTGAATGATGATAGACGGGGCAGGCAGAGGTGGGCAGCGCAGGGTCCTGGGAGAAGGTGCTTCAGTGGATGGGAGTTCTGAATCTGGTTCCTATTTGTGGACTCCCCGTTTGCATCCCCACATGGCGTGCGCATCCACATCCAAATAGACAGACAAAGCCGATCACAACCCAGGAGGTACCTGTTACAGCGTGGACAGAGGAGTCTGTGGAGGCTGTAGTACCTGAAATGAAAGAATAAGAGTATCAGCGGTGCTAATCTGTGACTGTCACTGACACAGTGGTGTTCTTGCTGGTTGTGTGGTCTGGGTTTTCCTCACCTTCTGTAGGAATGACTTTGAAATACGTGTTTTCCCCAAAAGCATTAGCAAAGAAGTAGCATCAAACACCGAGTGCAAAACTCTCAGGTTCTGAGTAAATTATTGCTGGAGTTTATCCAGCTGGGATAAATGCCCTCCTCTGCAGATGGAGCCGAACCCTTTGAGGGCCGTACCATTCATGGAGCCGTCTCCCTCTCTTACAGGGAAAACACAAGGCCGTATACATCAGTGAGGTCGTTCCCTCCCGTGAGCTGTTTGCCTCCAGCTCAGTCTTGGCAGAGGAAGGCTGGTTGACCTGTCCTCTGGAGCTTTTTAGAGTTAAAACGCGCGTTTGAACGCTTTGTTCCCCTGAGACCTTAATGAGTGGATGGATGAGGTTTGTAAAGGCTTCCAGGAGCCGACAGGACTGTTTTCCTTCCTGTCTCCTACTGCTGATCCTTCTGTATTTGTATCCCGGGAAGCTGGCTGAAGCTTTGTGGCCGTGTAAGTCCGGAGACAGGGAGGGGACTGCAGCCTGGGGACCGACTCAGAGCTGCCTTCCCTGGTGGTGGTGGGTAGTCCTGTAGGTCCATGCAAGGCTTTGCTCTCCCAGGATTGTAACTGTTGCAGAGTCCCTCATTTCTCAACTGAAAGGTGGTTTTGGTTTTTTTTTGGGGGGGTTTGCTGTGGATTTACAACAAAGCATCCCTGCACCCATCCCCCATGTTGCCTACTCTCAGGATCCCTGGTGTTTTTCTTTAAGCCCCAGCTCCTGGAGTCCTGTGATGAGATGAGACGCCAACTAAAAATGCTGCCATTTAAAATGGGAAAAAGAAGTGTCTAGTTCCCATATCTGGGGACAAGAACTGGAAAATGTAAATGTACCTTAAATGTTCAAATCAAACCCAACTGTTTTAACTTTGAAAAGGTGACTGACTTTGAGTCCGTTGATTTTGGAAACACACATCCTAATTGGTAATTTTTAATGGTTATTGCTGGTGATCCTGGTGCTGCCTGTAGTTAAGATTCATGTAAGAAACTACATGACAGTTAGAGAAACCAGCTGAATCTGATCCCACGGGTGATCCGTCTCACCAGAGACCCACGAGAGCTAAAGGTTTCAGAAAAAAAGATACGTCAGTAAAGGTTGAATCCTTCCAGCTCGCTGTCCCCTTGCAGTGCCACCTAGCTCCATTGCAGCAGTGGTCAGTGACGAGGAGCACTGCCTTTGCTACGCCTCATGGGCTGGCAGGAGAGGACACCCAGCAAAGCAGTGCCAGTCGTAGCAGAACACGGCCTGTGTGCCCCTTTCCAGCCCAAATCTCTCCTCCCTGTATGCAAGATTCATCTCACCTGCTGCTTTACCTCTCTCATGAGCTAGCCTACAAGAGAGCTCATCTCCTGGCTCTCTTTCTCACCAAAGAGAGGCCCAGGCACTTCTAAAACCCTATTGTGATGACCTATTTCAAATCTCTACTTTACCTTACCTATTTCAGATTTCTACCTTAGTCTCGGTGTGGTTAGAGGAGCCACAGCCTGCAATGTCCCATTTCTTACCAGGAGCTGTAGAAGTGATGTAGGTGACGAACTTTGTGGTAGGTACCTACGCTGTAGGTGTCTGAGAGGTCAGATGAATGCCCTGAGTGTGGTGTGTACCTGGAATGAGACCTTTGGCGTCCACTGTATGTGGGTTATCGGGGCTTGGCTCAGAGCCCACCCCTCGAGACCGTCTGGGTGTAGTGAGCTCCTGATTGATCTCATTTTTCTCATGTAATGGTCTTGGAGACATAATTGTCTTTTTTGTATGAGGCTTTATGACAATGATATCAGCCAAACAGGAACCAAAACAATACGTGAACCACAGTGAACACATAATAAAAAATGGTCTCTTTCCAGATAGGATTTGGCTGTGAAAATCAGACCTGACTTTTCAGATCTTTTCCATGGTTTTCTCTTCTAGCTTACTGGGCAGCAGGCTGGCAAAAATGTCGTTTAGGCCATGAAAGAGGAAACATGATCAGATCTTTTAATTGCACGGAGAGGAAGGGACTAATTTGTTCTCTAAATCCCCTGGGAACAGGACCAGAAAACAAGGGCTTTTAACTGCAGCAAGGAAAAGGGAGGCTGGGCAATAGAAAACTGCCTTAACATAAGGACAGGGAGCTGCTAGGAGTGATTGTGTAGGAGAATTACGGGATATCCTTCTCTGCAGGCTTTGAAGAGCAGGTTAAATGAGCATCAGTCTATTAACGGAGACAGGATTATGGACAGATGTAACATCACTTACTAAATCAACTAATATAATGGAAAAAAAGCTCTTTTGTGCACACGGTTGTCCTTCTTAAAGAGGTGGAGATGCTTCTTTCGAGGAAGGGGGGTGCCCCCGCTTTGCAGCCCTGTCACCCGGGATGCTGTGGGGCACTGCTGACCCCATGGAGGACGTGTGGTGCCTTGGGCTGTTTCCATGGATCCCAAGAGCTTGCCAAGTTTCTCTTTGTCACTGGGCTTCCCTCTTCTTAAACAGCTTTACAACACAATTTCTGGGCGTTGGTTTGCAAGTGCCTTACGGTGCCCTATGTACATTCAGCACAAAAAATACTGTGCTGAGGTCATCACGGGGACCAATATGCTTTAGCAGCTGCCAAACTCAAACAGCTCCTCTTTCTCTGAAATTCCCTTGTGGAACCTATTGTCTTTTTCCTCTGTGGGGAGAAGTAGCTGCTTGTAACACAATTTCTTTTTCAAATTGTCACAGGTGCTTTTTAGTGTACATGGCACGTGAAAGTATGAAGAATCGCTGGTGAAAGAGCTATCGCCTACAATTAGTCTTTGTCGAAGGAAAAGGGGAATAAAGGTGCTGAGCTGGCTGTTTATTCCAGCATTTTTGATGCAGCTGGGGAGCAATCTGAGAGCTTGAACAGAGCCTCTAGGGATGGGGGGAAGCTGAGGACAATGGAGATGACATTGTCCTGTACTGCCATCCCTGATGGGACCATCCCGTGGGCTAGCTCCAGCAATGCCGGTGCTAGCACAAGAGGAGGAGAATCATACTCAATACTTTCTTTCACCACGGCTCAGCCTTTCGCGGAAGGTCACACCAGAGCACTGGCTCATAAGGAGCTCTCCATTTGCAAAATTAAACCCTGGGGTTATTGTAAATAAGATGAATAAGCAGCTTTTTTTCCAGTGCTCAGTCCCTGGAGGTCACCTGGCCGAGTAGATGCTTGCCCTGGTCTGCCACGTCTGAGCTTTGCTGTGGAGAAGTCTTGCTGTGAAAAGGACAAAGGATTGAGGTCCCTGTTTGGCACTTTGCTCAGGAATAAATGGCCCTGGCTTCATGAAGTTCAACAAGGCCAAGTGCGAGGTCCTACATCTGGGTCAGCACAATCCCAAGCACAAATACAGGCTGGGCGGGGAATGGCTGGAGAGCAGCCCTGAGGAGAAGGACCTGGGGGTGCTGATTGACGAGATGCTCAACATGAGCTGGCAATGTGCGATCCCAGCCCAGAAGGCCAACCGCATCCTGGGCTGCATCAGAAGTGTGGCCAGCAGGTCAAGGGAGGGGATTCTGCCCCTCTACTCTGCTCTGGGCAGACCCCACCTGGAGTACTGCGTCCAGCTCTGGAGTCCCCAACATAGGAAAGACATGGACCTGCTGGAGCGTGTCCAGAGGAGAGCCACGAGGATGACCCGAGGGCTGGAGCACCTCTCCTATGACGAGAGGCTGAGAGAGTTGGGACTGTGCAGCCTGGAGAAGAGAAGGCTCCGGGGAGATCTTATTGCAGCCTTCCAGTACCTAAAGGGCTACAGGAGAGCTGGGGAGGGACTTTTTACTGGGGTATGGAGTGATAGGATGAGGGGGAACGGCTTTAAACTGGAATAGGTCAGGTTTAGATTAGGAAGAAATTTTTCACTATAAGGGTGGTGAAGCACTGCCCCAGGTTGCCCAGAGAGGTTGTTGAGGCCCCATCCCTGGAGGTGTTCAAGGCCAGGCTGGACATGGCCTTGGGCAACCTGGTCTAGTGGGAGGTGTCCCTGCCTATGGCAGGGGGGTTGGGACTCGATGATCTTCAAGGTCCCTTCCAACTTAAATCATTCTATGAGTCTATGATTCTCTAAACACAACTGCACGTTATTTCAAAGCGGAGCAGGTCTGGCTCGGACTTCTGGCCAGTGCTGCTTGTTATGCCTTCCCTGCCAACTTAAATAATTAAAAGTCCTGTTACATTAGGTGTTTTCTTTTGGCGAAGGCACTTATCATCCCTGTTGGGTTACGTGGGAGGGGACGGACTTGCGCAAAGCAGGAAGAGCCCCGAGTCGCGCCGCGGGGCTGTGCAGCAGGACGGGTACCAACAAAACAAGTGCCACGTGTCCTGGCTCCCTGCGGACCTCCCCCGGGGGGGACTCTCGTGCAAACGGTGCTGGAAACCATTTTCCTCCCAGTGCTGCTGCCAGCACGGCCCCACTCCCCTCCACGGAGGGCCCTGGCTATATAAACAGCTAACAACAATGATCGGGACGCAGCCAGCGCAGCTGTAATTGCAATGAACATCAAAGCCACTCAAATGGCTCGCCATTGAGCCTACGCGCTGCCGTGACGTTTGCTGCGTGTTTTGGGGCAAGCGATTTATAGCCGGATTGTGCAGTCCTAGGCGGAGACGGGGAGCTTGCTGAGGGATTTATGATGGGAAATGCGGCTTTCTGCGCTTGCTGTGATGGGAAACTCCTGATTACCCACCACAGTCACAGGGCTGCAGAGGAGTGCGTCGGAGCTGCAGGTGCATTTCAGCTCTGACTCAGTGCGAGCTGCATTTCGGTTAGTTTTTCCAGAGGATGAGCAGGGGAATTTTGGATTTCTGTCATTTGCAGTCATTCTTCTGTGAGGTTAGATGGGAGCGTTAGACTGAGAGCGGAGGGGTCTTTCCATAGAGCTGCCCAGAGAGGCTGTGGAGTCTCCTTCTCTGGAGATACTCAAAACCCACCTGGACACGTTCCTGTCCAACCTGCTGTAGGTGACCCTGCTCTGGCAGGGGAGGTTGGGCTACATGGTCTCCGGAGGTCCCTTCCAACCCTGACCAGTCTGGGATTCTGTGATTCTCTCACAGCAGCTGAGATGTTCCCAGAGCCAGCAGCTCACCCTGCTCACTCCTCAGCACGAGAAGAGAATGATGTAGACCAAAACAATTTCTGCTTTGGTATTT